ATTGACGACTCTCAATCCTTAAGATTCAAAGCAGGTTGTAATTTGTAGACCTCTGCCTATTTCTAAAAGACATCTTTAAAAAAAAAAAAAAAAAAAGGACTGGGGACATAACGTTTGAAGCAATCTTGACAAGTAAATTGAGTTTCAAAATATAGTCACTCCAACTGGGTACCATATCATCAATTTATAAAGCACTTGAAAATACAGTAACTACTATTCAAAGCAGTTTTGGCATTTACATGACGGCATGGCTCAAGAGTCACTCTTAGTTATTACTATGAAAACTGTTTGGGATGTGGATGACAACATGGATTAGAAACCTACCCTCAACTGAGAGAACCCAAAGGTCTGAGCTTTTTCTTCCACCATCGTAACTTCAGGTTGAGATTATAAACATCTTAAAAAGAGAGAAGGGCAGTCGTGCTCTCTATATCTCTATCTCTATCTCTATATCTTTATCTCTATCTCTATCTCTCTCAGTAGCAATGTGGCCTTATAAACTATGAGATGCTACAGAATTATCTAATGTATTCAAGTTCCCAGTAGTTACCATTACAGGATTTCCAGGTGGTGGTCCTTTCCAGAGAAAAGTCCCCTCTCCTTCCCCACTTGTCTCTCACACTTCCATCTCCCAGGCTCTTATCTCACTGGTCCCACCTTCTGTCCTCTATCTGTCCCTTTTTTATATAACTTTGTATACAGTATTAACTGCACTTCTTTCAAACATTGTCTTTTGTACTTACCACACACACACACACAGAGACACTTCTCACACCCCCATTCTTCACAACTCTGCACTTGTTTTTCTTCTTTTATAAAGACAGTACTTTCAAAACTATTGAACTGAATTGAACAGCATTGATCTGTTCTTTAATTTATTTCAACACACAATTCTTGAGTGCCTATTGGTGCAAACATGGTTCCAGGTAATAGCAGGCAAAGGTGGCACCATGAAGAACATGGGAGGGATAACATGAGGTCCAAGCATAGGGGTTGGAATAGACAAACCTGGGTTTGGATCCCAACTTTGACATCTTTTGTCTGTGTGATGCTGGTCAAGTTACCCATCCTCTCTGTGTTTCACTTTTTGCATTTTCCAATGGGAATAATTATAGTACCTATGCCACAGATTTGTTGTTTTGGATTAAAGAATTGGATGGCCGCAAAGTGTTTGGCATTGTACTTGGCATACGGTAAACTTTCAATAAATGTTGGTGATGAAATAGGGCATAAGTTCTGCCCTTCAGGAGTCTGGAGTCCATTGTGAATAAGACAGACATCCGAGTCACACAGTTACAGTAGTTAGTGGAATAAAGGTTTAAGCAAGGTATTACAGAAATGTAGAGGAGATTGATTCTGATTGAGAAATTTGGGGATGGTTTTTGAAAACATGCAGACTGGGTATTCCTTCAACAGGCAGCTATTGCGATCAAGGCATATCACTGAAGGAGAAGGGAGAAGAGAGATAAACACTACAATTGGGAGCAGAAGACTTGGGTCACTAGCTGTGCTATCTTGAACAAATCACTTGAACTTTCTGAGCCCAAGTTTCTTCTCAGTAAAATGGGGAGAATATTACCAGCTCTGCATGCATCCCAGTATTGGTATCAAATGAGACACTACGTAGAAAGGGCTTTGTAATTTCTGAAAATTAAAAATGTTGTTGTGATGGTGGTGATGATAGAATAAATAGTTTTTATTGTCAGGCTAGTGGAAATCAACTTATATCCATTCATTCACACTCTCTTGGCTTGCTCCCCTTGTGGTTAATGGTATGCCTTTGCAAGTCATCTGGCCAGGATTTCTGTTGACAAAAATGTTTTGACAAAGTCTACTCTTAATTTCCCTGCATGCAAACAGAGGCAAGCAGTACACCAGATAGATCATTCAGAAGAACAGATAATCAAAACATCACTTCTGTTTAGCGCTGAAATGCAAAAAGGAAGGAGTGCACAGAAGGAGGCCTTAGATCACCTACCAAGTGAATAATTAAGAATTAACTTGAATAAGAACTTGCAAAAATCACTATGCAAATGGGGATCACACCATGGTATGGATCTAAAAATCCAAGATGGCAAAGCAAGCTGATTTTAGCCTTTAGAATAAATACTCTCTGTAATCTTCTGTCTCTATCATCTTTGAGGAAACTGCTACATCTAAAGCATTCAAGCAAAATTTGGTTTTGTCTCTCAGGCCTGCAATTTTGCAGCTTGCTCTATTCTGGATGGGTTGTGCACATACCTTCAAGCAAATTGTTGGAATCGCTCCCAGTTCGCTCAGCCAGCTGACTCCATTACAAAGGAGGATTTATCTTTTTTTCCCTCTTTGTCCAAACTAGAGGACAAAGAGCATGGCAACCAGTGGCTAATCATAGGGCCCACTGGAGCCTGCCCAGAAAAAGAAAAAAGAAGAGTCCCCTCCCACGGCAGCCCTTACAGTTGCCACATCAGAGGATTGCAAAGAGCAGGTTACCCCATAAGTGGCCCCCTGCAACACCCCAGAAGGCAAAATAACAGCTAGGGTGCCATCATCCAGGACAGTGACCACAAAGTCTGGGTACCAGTGCTGCTGCTCTAGTGCAGCCTTCCATATAGACCTATATCTTTAGGGTCCTCATTTTAAAATTACATGTTGGATGGGCCATCATTTGGGGGGATTAACTTAGCATTACACCATGTGCCTGAGAGTGTTTAGGTTCATCTGATGATAAAGCGTAGGAAGGTAATAAAACAACTCTGAAATAATAATAATAAGCCACAGGAGGAGGGTCTTCATGGTGGGAAGCATATGCAGATCTCTTTGCATATGAACCCTGTAACTTGCTGGGTGCTATCAGGCAAGTCACTTAACCTACTAGTTTCTTCATCTACAAAATGAAGATGATAATAGTAGTAACTATCTCAGAGTTGTTTGGAAAGCAATAAAATGCAACACAGTCCCTGGCACCCAAAGAGTGTGCAATAAATAGTAACTGCTAAAATAACTCCCAGGCATCTCAAAATACTCAATTTGTTTTGCATGACTAGGCCCATTTCCAAAAGTTGCATAAATATACTGCCTACAGAATGCAGTTCTTGCTCTGTTCTTTAAGGACCTCCAAAACCCTGTGTGGACACTTTGTTTATTCTTTTTGCAAAGCTTGGGGAGTGGGAAAAGGAAAGGGTTACAGTTTTCCATTTCACAGACGGGAAATCCAAGGCATAGAAAAAGTAAATTACTTGGCTAATGTCACATTAAAGCCAGCAGCAGAACTGTAATCGGTCATGACCCCCCATTGCAATGCAGCTTGTCTTCACCTTTCAAAAGTCAGGGGTAAGCAACTTCTGTCTTAGTTTTAATACCATCAGCCTAATTTCTCAGATTTTCTATAGCTGCTGATCTTGAGAACCTTTGAAGCTTCGGGGAAATCACATGGGTGATTTGACCTTAAATCTCATGCCACTAGCAAAAGATTAATTGCTAAGACCTGGAAAGGGGCCAGACAATTCTGTGTAGCTGAATAGCAGCATCGTCTAGGGATGTGACTGTCCTGACAGATTTAGTTAGTACATAATTGATAAATCTAGAGTTTGTATAGCTTCGCTTAACAGATAGATAAGGCAATGGGCTCCGAAGGTTGACATTTACAGAAGCTCTCCCAGTGTTTTGTAACACTGAATCTAGGTTTTCTATCCTCTTCCTCTGAACATCGCTCATTTTCTAAGGCTCTGTTCTCAGCAGGCAATAAGATGAGGTTATCTGACAAGAAGGCCACCTCACCCAGTGTAAGCAAGAAGCAAGAAGCCTCCTAAGTGTAGCACTGTCATGTGACTGCTTTGAAAGTCTTACTTACCGGATCCAGTGCAGGGTGAGGTCAAAGAAAGATCCAGCACATTACATAGCAGCTAGGAAATTTTCGTCACAATCAAAATCCAAAAAAGATAAAAGGCAGCCAGATACAACATGAAAGCTTGGATAGTGTGTCTAAACCTTGGGCAGGAAATTTTGCGCTGCTTGACTCCTGTTCCAGACTAAAACGTGTCATAAGACCCCTTTTAGCAATGTGAACTCTGACAGGCACCCAGAAACCTCAGCTTTTATTTCTTTGACTTTGGTCACCCACTCCACAAAGTATTTTGCTTATTGAAAGGAATGGTGGTGAATGCTTTCCATTGTAATTCGTATCCAACGCCTATACAGTTTATTGTAAGATTTTGTTATCTTCTCTTAATTCTTGCTGTCTAGTTTTATGTTTCAATTCATGAAGCATTGTTGTGTGGCTGATATATACCCAGTGTACTTCTGTAATTTTGTCACTTCCAGTTGTAAAACATCTGACCCACTAGCTTAGGTCAGTAAATCAGTGGCTTACAGTGTGAAAGATTTTCTGTTTGTTTGTTTTTGCATGGTAGTGAATAAGAATGGCATTAAATAGCCTCTCTTGCCCTCACAAAAAAAAAGTAGTAACTTTATGTATCATAACCTAACACATAGAGCTATTTTTTTAAGCTAGTTGTGACAACTTTCTGAATACAATTCACTAAGATACATTACTTTTTATTTTTTCTTTTGGAGACAGGATCTCACTCAAATGCCCAGGCTGCAGTGCAGTGGCATGATCATGGCTCACTGCAGCCTCTACCCCCCAGGCTCAGGTGATCCTCTCACCTCGGCCTCCCAAGTAGCTGGCACTACACACCACACCTGGGTAATTTTTGTATCGTTCATAGGGATAGAGTTTCACCATGTTGCCCAGGCTGGTTTCGAACTCCTGGGCCCAAGCGATACACCCGTCTTGGCTTCCCAAAGTGCTGAGATTACAGGCACGAGCTACCTCACCCAACTAAAATATATTACTTCTATTAAAAGATAATATATAAAAATCATTTAGAAAAAATATACTATGTATAAACAATTATCTTATCACATACATACCATTTTAAATATTAAAAGTTTATAAGATTGTTTCTAGAAACTTTGTAGCTCTGAGTTAAATGGGTGATTTTGTCTTCTTTCATCAGAGGAATTAGAGAGATTAGAACAGGAGAGACTAGCATTGGAAGCGACTATCAAAGACAATGAGTGTGAAGAGGAAAGTGGAGGCATCCGAGGCTTGTTTAAAAAAGCTGGCAAGTTGAACATTACCAAGACAACGCCTAAAAAAGGTAAGTACTTTTTAAATTTTGCAAGAAAGTTTACAAGATGAGTCACTATTTGAGCATCTAGAAAGAGTCCGAAGTCAGGATCTAAGATGCTGGGGGCATTGAGTGTAGGTAGGAACTGAAAGGTTTCTCTCCAGAAGGTAGTATGGATAAACGGTAGCAGCTATTGTCATTTATCAACCTCATTAAGTACTTTGTACCATCTTACTGTCAAAAATTATTTTTAAAATGTAATATTTGGTTTGGAAGTCAAATAGTGCTTAAGCAGATTGCATGCCATGAAACAGAAGTTTCTCAGTTAAGATGGAAAAGGGATAGAAATTTAAGAGTCAGTACCCAAACCGTCTTATCCACACACACCCTTACCTTTCAGACATTTCAGGGAACTGAAATATGACTAGTACATGCAAATACGGTATCCAGCTAGAACGCTGATTTCAAAAAAAGCATCTTTATCACAAACCAGAATGCAGGACTTAGAACTTTATTGATACTCACTACCTGTAGATTTCATCTAAATCGTACATTTATATATGAACTTATGGTATGCAGTCCTGGGACAGAGGATCAGAGGTTGGGAGAGCTCGTTACACGTTTTATAAACAGACGATTCAAACGTTTGGATTTTTGAAAATTACTTTCCAAAACGTTACGGGTTTGAGTTTAATGAGGTCCACAGTGACCTCTGCTGGTCCAAAATCAGAATGTTAGCAGGCATTTATTTATGCATGAACGTCCTGTAGTTACTGAAGTCACACTCTGGTGTTAGGCCAGGAAAAGATGGTTTCTCTGGGAGGGTCTCCAAGTCAAACAGCAGGATCCAAGTGGAGATTTAGCAGGCTTCTGGTCTACGTTGACCAGGGCCAACCCTTCAAAGAGGCTCTTCGACAAGGCCATCTCCCACCCCATAAATGGTTTGTCTGTTTGCTTTCCTACTATAGCCCAAAGATGAAATTTCACCTATAATATAATAGTTTTATATATCTACAGAGAATGATGGGAAATCCAGATATTGCCCCACTTCAGATACTCTGGGTACTGTCGAGTTCCTGGGATAACCCCATGGGCCGTGGCCTACTCCTTACAGTTCACCTTAAAATGACATAGATGATGTGTTTGAATTCAAGCTGAAGCTACATCAGGGTGAAAATATTTAAATAAGACTGTTCTGGATGCTAACTACTTTTCTTTCTAATTATTTGGTTTAACTGTAAAAAAAAGTTAACAATCCATTAAATCTGCTCTATTAAGTGGTACAGTCTGGAAAATAATGGAAAATTCAAAAGTCATAGCCCAACAGTGTGCTCTAACTAGAGACAGGAAAGCATTAATGTCCTTATTATGACAGCAGGACTTGTTATTTATTCTGGGAGCTTATTTTTGCATCACAATACTTGTTTTGGCAAAAATATACTCTTCCAAAAGTCAACATGTCAAATTGTTCAGAAAAGAAAAGTAATAATGTTATATACTGTTTTAATACCTAGAAGTTTAAACACACCTCTAAAGCGGGCTCATTCACTACTCTAGGCTTCCGTTATTGTCAACTCTTGAGTTCTAGACCAGAACCAATCCTGCTCCCAGGCACCTGAGTATGAACAGGAGGCCTCTGGATACTTTGACTTGTCTGTAGGTGAGGGCAGAGCTTGGTCCATTTTGTAAATAAATTTTTCTCCCTCAGCAGTCCCAGGGATGTAAAAACAATATCAGATCATTGCTTCAGAACTGACAGACCCTAAACACAGAAACAGCAAAAGATAAAACAAAGCATCTTCAAAACCTCTTAGATCAGAGAGGAAGCTCTGAAGAGGCTGTCCGCCCTCCTCTAAGCACCAGGCTGACACCACCTCTTTGAAAGACAGCAATAAAGTCATGACTTTCAAAGACACAGATATGAGAAATACTATGTACACTGTGGCAAAGAAACCCCTCTTGGCAAACAGGAACAGGTCCGGCTCCAACACTGGCCGAGTTCCCTGATACACTTTCATTGTATCCATGTTAGGGTAGAAATTGCATTTTTAAAAATTTTAACTGTTTTATATGCACCCTGAATTATAACTCAAGTAAAGATGTTTTTATTTCCATATTTTCTAGCTTTTTTTTTTTTTCATCTAATTCACAAAGATTCAAATAGCTCAAATGGCTTTACTTTAGCTTCACAAGATTCCTTGAAAAGAAAGCAGAGGAGTAAGCCAGGCCGACTAAGAGACCAAATAGTCACAGAATTCAAGATGCACACGGTCCCTGGCAAATTTTAGAAACCAGACCTGAATGGAACTTAAACCAAAATAGTGCTTCACGCATCAATTCCTTAATGAAAGGATATTTCTGATTCTATTGCTTATTTCCAGAAAGCCAGTTACCACATGTGAAGTAAATATAAAAATATTAATACTATTAAGTTGATTTATATCTGAGATTTGGGGAAATGGGGATTTCTGGCTAGTAGCATTGTTGCATGCCTAAATAATAACTCCACTCTGAGACAGATTGCTAAAGGTCTGAAAAAATCCATTGTTTTTTAATAAAAACTATAATCATAAAGCTGTTTTACTTAACTATTGACTGTCAATATTTTGTTTAACTATTGAAGGTGGTCTAAATTATTCTGGGATTGGACTTTTATCTCTGCCTTTTGAAGAATAGAGTCGCTATTTATTTTAGGTATAATAAACACAAATCTGTGACCTTTTCTCTATTTTCATCAGTAGATTGATTGGAAAGTTATTTTGCTTCTGCCCTCAGAAGCAAACAGATGCATCAATTCCTCCTTCATTTCAGATGGCAGCATTAACACAATCCAGTCGATGCATGTGGGAGAGTTCAACCAGAAACTAGTGGAAGCCAGCACTCAATTTAAAAAGAAACAAGAAAAAGGCACAATTGATGTTTGGTGGTTATTTGATGACGGAGGTAAAAACTTTCAGAAAATACACTAGGGACAAAAATTTCTATCTTGATCAACTTAACAAACTGCATGAGAAGGTATATGGGAACAATGCTGGTTAAAGAATAACATTTCTGTGTTCTCCAAAGATTGTAACTTAATTAAGAGCTATCAATGTGGGAATGAATAAAGATATAAAGCTATTCATTTTCTCCCATTTAGATATACTCATCGTGTCATAATTCACTCTTTATTCCAGGGTTAACACTTCTTATCCCCTATATCTTGACTCTCAGAAAAAAATGGAAAGACTGTAAATTAAGGATCTATGTCGGAGGAAAGATCAACCGCATTGAAGAAGAAAAAATTGCGTAAGTAGTTTACCAGCCACATGTTAGGTCATTTCAGAGGTTTGTTGCTTTAATGCTTTAATTTTAATAACTTTAAGTGTCTCTGAGACACAATAGACTTAAAGACAAAGCCACCATGATAGGCCTCGTGTTTACTTGGTTCTCTGGTCAGTAAATTATTTGCATATTTTTCCTGATAATTGTCTTTAAGCAAGACCTCTTATCCTCTGTCACAAATGCTTTCCAAAAGGAAGGTGCCACAGAAGCCTCATCGCAAGTCCTGAGTGGGAGCTTCATTGTCTCATATAATGCTTATTTTGTTCTGACCAGTAAAGGCATCCAAGAAAAGAAGAGCCTGAAGGAAATTCGGGTCCAGTTGCTTTTTCTGTGGGAATTCAAACCTCCTAATTCATGGCAGTCACTCTTAGCACAGCATATGTAAAAGAGAACTAAATGGAGAGACTGCACCTGGGTTCTAGCCCCAGCTCTGCCATCAAGGAGCTGTAGGACTTTGCAACAGTTGCCAAATACATCTGGGTCCCCAGTTTCTCCTTTGTAGTTTGAAAGAGTTTAAAGGGATGACTGTAGAGAACTCTTCTAATTTAAATCCAAAAAAAATCCCACAGTGTAAGTCTGCATCTTTCTCATTAATTTAGCCATTGAGAGCTGATGCCAGGTGTGAGAATAATAAGCATGCTGAGAACATGACACATCTAGAGGTCTCTGGTGGAAATTCAGAAAACCACCTTCAGCAGCTCTTAGTCCCTCATGGCACTGAGGGACTAAGCTCTGAGTCCTTCCTGGAACCAGCACTTCCAGAAGTCACAAAATAATGACAGGCTTTATTCAGTAATTTTTAATATTTTCTCTTCCCTCTTAGGATGTATTGTGCTGTGAATGTGGTATACATATATATATACACATACACACACACAGACACACATATAGTTATAAATTGCTACATTGTTACATTCTGAGAAAATGTGTCAGGCAATTTCATATCGTGCAAACATCAGAGTGTACTTACACAAACCTAGATGGTATAACCCACTACACACCTAGGTTATATGGTATACCCTGTTGCTCTAGGCTACAGATCTGAACTGAATACTGTAGACAACTGTAACACAGTGGTAAATATTTGTATATCAAAACATAGAAACGGTATAGTAAAAATACAGCATAAAAGATAAAAAATGGTCCACTTGTATTGGGCACTTACCGTGAATGGAACTTGCAGGACTGGCAGTTGCTCTGGGTGCATCAGTGAGTGGTGAGGGAATGTGAAGCCCCAGGACATGACTACGCCACTGTAGATCTTATCAACACTGCATACTTGGGCTACACAAAATTTATACAAAAATATTTTTCTTCAAAGCTGGACCTGAGAATAAAAAATATTTTTTTCTTTAATAATAAATTAACCTTACCTTACTGTAACTTTTTTACTTTATAATTTCTAAGCTTTTGACCCTTTTGTAATAACACCGAGCTTAAAACATATTGTATAGCTGTGCAAAAGTGTTTTCTTATATCCTTATTCTATAAGCTTTTTTCTTTTTTTTTTTTATTTTGAGGTGGAGTCTCGCTCTGTCGCCCAGGCTGGAGTGCAGTGGCGCGATCTCGGCTCACTGCAAGCTCCGCCTCCCGGGTTCACGCCATTCTCTTGCCTCAGCCTCGCGAGTAGCTGGGACTACAAGCGCCTGCCACCATGGGCGGCTAATTTTTTGTATTTTTAGTAGAGACAGGGTTTCACCGTGTTAGCCAGGATGGTCTTGATCTCCCGCCCGTCTCGGCCTCCCAAAGTGCTGGGATTACAGGTGTGAGCCACCGCGCCCGGCCTGCTTTTTCTATTTTTTCTTTTTAAATATTTTTGTTAAAAACTGAAACACAAACACACACATTAGGGTAGGTCTATCCAGGGTCAGGATCATCAATGTCACTGTCTGCCACGTCCACATCTTGTATCCCACTGGAAGGTCTTCCAGGGCAATAACAGGCATGGAGCTGTCATCTCCTATAACAATGCTTTCCTCTGGAGTATCTCCTAAAGGACCTGCCTGAAGCTGTTTCACAGTTCACTTTTTTTAATAAGTAGGAGTACACTCTAAAATAATAATAAAAAGTGTAGTATGTAAACACATAACCGGTAACAGTCATTTATTATTGTTATCAAATATTATGTACTGTACGCAATTGTGTGTGCTGTATTTTTATGTGACTGGCAGTGCAGTAGGTTTGTTTACACCAGCATCACCACAAACGTGTGAATAATGCGCTGTGCTATGCCATTATTACAACAGCTATGACACCACTAGGTGATAGGAATTTTTCAGTTTCATTATAATCTTATGGGACCACGATCGACATGCAGTCTGTCATTGACCAGAATGTTATTATGTGGTGTATGACTGCATATATATTATACGTATATGCATATATGTCTTTTCAATCAAATCAATATGATATGTATATACTAATATTATATATATTTAATTGTACTTCAAGAGGATCATATTAACATGGAAACTAACAATGTCTATAATACTTTATATTTCTTAAAGCTGCCAATATTTTATTGGGACAATTAGTATAATTTGAAAATGTTTTGTGGCTTAAATGGTAGTATGGCATCAATGTTAAATTTTCCAATTTCAAAAATTGTGCTCTCTTTATATAAGAGATTGCCCTTGTTCTTAGGAACTGCTCGCTGAAAAATTTAGGGGTAAAGGTGCTTAATATCTGCAACGGACTTTAAAAGATTAGAGTAGATAGGTAGATAGATAGAGATAGAAGTAAATAGATAGATAAATATATAGAGAGAGAAACAAAGAAAATGGTAAATCAAACAGGACAAAATATAAACAACTGGTGAATCTGGGAGTTCTTTGTATTATCTTAAACACTTTTCTGTAATTTTGAAATTATATCAAAATTATCAGTTGCCAGGAATAAACCTCATATATATATATATATATATATAAAAAAGCCATATATATGAGGCTTATATATATATGAGGTTTTAAAATATACACGATGGTTTATGTTATGTTTATATATTATATAATTTACACGTTTGTGTATATAATTAATCATATATAATTTATCATATTATGATATATTGTATGATAACTGTCAGTAGTTTGTCAGTAACTATAAAAATTATCACCAATATAAGGAGAATGGCGTAAACCCGGGAGGCGGAGCTTGCAGTGAGCTGAGATCCGGCCACTGCACTCCAGCCTGGGCGACAGAGCGAGACTCTGTCTCAAAAAAAAAAAAAAAAAAAATTATCACCAATATAATAGTCCATAAGTATTAAGACTTGCTGTCTTTCAAATAATAAGAAATGTAGACAGATTTGCATTCTGTTCCCTGTGACATAAATGCAGGGTTGGATTGGCTGTTGCCAGTGTCTGCACCTACAGGGATTTCTTTATGCCTTCAGTGAAATAGCTTGGTCCACACTTAATGTGTTCATCAGGTACTGTAATGAAAATCAAACACCAACCAAAAAGCCTCTGTCTGAAAGCTAAGCTGAAATAAGACATGATTGCTTTTGATACCTTAACTCAAACACAAAACTCTTTGATTGAAAATAGTTAAATATGCAATGATGAAGTATTTTCCTTTCATATTTTCAGAATGGCTTCCCTTCTGAGCAAATTTAGGATAAAATTTGCAGACATCCACATCATTGGTGACATCAACATTAAGCCAAACAAAGAGAGGTATGAAATATTTAACAAGATCCATTGATTACCCATGGACTCTCTCATTCTCTTTTGCGTTGATTATCAAACAGTAAAAATGTTATGTATTTACTGCAGTGACTTCTTGATGGGATCTAATAAGAAGGGCCTTCAAATAATCATGACAGAACTAACAAGTACATTCTAAAGGGAAGAAAAGCTTTTACAGTGAAGACAAGCCTGAGAGGGAGAATTGTTGAAACAGATTAGTTTATATTTTAGAATTGCCCTTCCTGTTCTTGGTTTCTATGGTGGCAAGAGTAGCAGGAAGCGCAAGGTCATACTATTCTGACCAGAGCCATCAGGACAAGTTTTGTTACTCAAAGTTACTCATGGAGCAGCCTGGATGGGGAGCTCTGATGGAGAAGATGTGGAAACAGCTCGTGTCTTCTCGGCACATGGACAATACCAACTCCCCAGGGTCATTTTAGCTTTTAGGCACTAAAGGCCCAACAGGTAAGGCCTGTGAATTTTGCGGGGATGTCTAAAACTATCTGAAACCTGGAAAAGAAATGTATTGGCTCCAAAATAAAAAAAGAAAATGACAAAATCAAAGTAATCATTTAAATATCTTCAAAATGTGACATTATTTTAATCTTCATTAATTGTTATATTTATCAACTCCATTAGTGTCTTTGTCACCTCGGGCTGCTATACCAAAATGCCATGGACTGGGTGGTTTAAACAACAGACATTTATTTCTCACAGTTCTGGCGAAGTTCTGGGAAGTCCAAGTTCAAGGCGCTAACTTACTCAATTTCCTTTGAGGGCCCTCTTTGTGGTGTGCAGATGGCCGCCTCCTTGCTGTGTCCTCACATGGTGGAAAGAATTCTCTCTTTCTCTTCCTATAAGAGCACTAATCCCATAATAGGGAACCTACCCTCATGAACTCATCTCAACCTAATTACCACCCAAAGGCTTCACCTCCAAATACTATCACATGGAACTTAGGGCTTCAACACATGAATTTGGGTAGGGGGACACAAGCATTCAGCTTATAACAATGATATTTTTGGAGGTTTTTTTTGAGACAGGGTCTCACTCTGTCACCCAGGATGGAGTGTAGCAGTGCAATCTCAGCTCACAACAATCTCTACCTCCTGGACTCAGGTCATTCTCCCACCTTGGCCTCCTAGGTAGCTGGGACCACAAGCACATGCCACCACTCCTTGTTAATTTTTTGGTGGAGACGGGCTTTCACCATGTTGTCCAGGCTGGTCTCAAGCCCCTGAGCTTAAGTGATCTGCCCGCCTTAGCCTCCCAAAGTGCTGGGATTACAGGCATGAGCCATCACACCTGGCAACACTGATATTTGAAAACACTTGTAGGTTAGATCTTCACAGTAGTTTGCAAGGGTGCAAGAAGATTGTTTAGAAACCATGGCCAATTATAAATTAAATTAAATATTTAGAGTTATCATTTAACAATTACAAAATGTTTTCAATTATTTATAGTCTAAAATCATATTTTCTGTTGCACTCAGATGCAATTTAATACATTTGATTTCGTGTGGAGTGGGGCCTCCAAGAGGAATCATACAGAGGGATGTGAAGGTCCCAGAATGGCTTAGATTATCATGGTTCTGTCGGAACCTTCCCTTTTGTGTTGACCATCATTTCTTCTTCCTTTTGTACTTTTTTTTGTTTTTTTTTTAAAGGGAGTCTTACTCTGTTGCCAGGCTGGAGTGCAATGGCTCCATTTTGGCTCACTGCAACCTCCGACACCCTGGTTCAAGGGATTCTCCTGCCTCACTCAGCTGCTGAATAGCTGGGATTACAGGCACGCGCCACCACGCCCAGCTAATTTTTGTATTTTTTTTTTTTTAGTAGAGACGGGGTTTCACCATGTTGACCAGGATGGTCTCGATCTCCTGACCTTGTGATCTGCTTGCCTCAGCCTCCCAAAGTGCTGGGATTACAGGTGTTAGCCACCATACCCGGCCCCTTTTGTACTTCTTGATGGATTATAATTCCATGTTTTTCAAGGCTTCTTGACTCTTTCCTTCTTTTGATTTATTGCTATTATATATGAGCTTAATAACTAACTGAAAATTATTCCAATTAAGATGCATTCTTACTGATCTAACAAATCATTCTTACTGATCCGGGAGGCAGAGGTTGTGGCGAGCCGAGATCGTACCATTGCACTATAGCCTTAGCAACAGAGTGAGACTCCATCTCAAAAAAAAAAAAAAAAAAAAAAAAGAGAGAGGGAGAGAAAAGAAATAAATTAACTGTGATAAGAAAGCTATGAATTTGATATTTGAATTTCATATTCTTTGAGGCTACTCATGATCCTTCCAAGGCAGTGGGTCAGTTAAAATGGTTTTACAAAACACCTTAACTGCAAGGCATGGTGGCTCACACCTGTAACCTCAGCACTTTGGGAGGCCAAGAGAGTTCCAGAGCAGCCTGGGCAACATACCAAGACCCCCCAAAATAGAAAAAATTCACCAGGCTTGGTGGTGTATGCCTGTAGTCCTAGATACTCAGGAAGCTGAAGCAGGAGGATCACGTGAACCTGGGATGTCAAGGCTACAGTGAGCCATGATCACCCCACTGTACTGTAGGCTGGGTGACAAGAGTCTCTTTTTTGAGACCCTGTCTCAAAAAAAATAAAAAGAAAAGAAAAAAGAGCTGGGCATGGTGACTTATACCTGTAATCCCAGCACTTTGGGAGGCCAAGGCAGGCAGATCACCTGAGGTCAGGAGTTCGAGACCAGCCTGACCAACATGGCGAAACCCTGTCTCTAATAAAAATACAAAAATTAGCCAAGCGTGGTGGTGGGCGCCTGTAATCCAAACTACTCGGGAGACTGAGGCAGGAGAATCACTTGGATCCGGGAGGTAGAGGTTGTGGTGAGCCGAGATCGTACCATTGCATTATAGCCTTAGCAACAGAGCGAGACTCCATCTCAAAAAAAAAAAAGAGGGAGAGAAAATAAATAAATTAACTGTGATAAGAAAGCTATAATCGACAGGGTTAAACTGGTTATTACTTTGTGATATTTTTTTACATCATACTCTAATGCATTATATTCTTGTATTTCTACAGTTATAAATGCATAAGAAAAACTAAGAACACATAATTCTCATTGACAAATGTAATTAACATTCTGATATTAACTGGGTTGTCATACGGTAATCTCTGGTAGCCTTCCACTTTTTTTTCAAAGAATTTCCATTCTCTATATCATTGCATTTTGGCATTTGCAGCGATATAATCAAACAAGCTCATCATATGGCTCTAATTGGTAGAAATACATCCTCTTTCATATCAGCAAGTCCAACAATTCCTTAGTACATGCCACTTAGCAATAGGGCATAGCCGGCCAGTGCTCTGCAAGATAGGGCCATTTTCTGTTGTCTAGTGGGTAGTCACTGGGTCTTCTACTGACTTTGGATTTCCTATAAGCCCTACTGAACATGAATTATCCACCTTTTTTTTTTTTTTTTTTTTTTTGAGACAGGATCTCACTGTCATCTAGGCTAGGTTGCAGTGGTACAATCATAGCTCATCGTAGCCTCTAACTCCTGGGCTCAAGAGATCCTCCTGCCTCAGCCTCTTGAGTAGCTGGGTCTACAGGCATGAGCCACTACACCCAGCTTTTTTTCTGGTAAAGAAAAAGTCTCACTATGTTGCCCTGACTGGTCTCAAACCCCTGGGCTTAACTGATCCTGCTACCTTGGCTTCCCAAAGTACTGGAATAACAGGCATGAGCCAGCACACCTGGCCTCACTCACTTCTTGTAGCCAAATTCTCCTTGCGGTTGTTGGTCTTATCCTTAGCTAAGCATTATCAATGTTTGCTGACATTATCAATGTTTTGCTGACTAATTTGTGCCTATATTTCTTTGTCTCTTTACTTGTCAGTCTAGTTTTCTCAACCCAAGTCCTTATATCCTTCTCCTTCTTTCATACTAGTCTGTCCAGCTGCCACAGTCACCACCCTGCATAGCCATCCTTTCTGTCCTGTTGCTGAGGCTGATGTACCTCTTCCATTAACCAAGCCTCTTTTTTCTTTGAATACTTTTCGTAGCTGGACACTCTTCTTCTTACTACTCTGACCTTTGTCCCAGGATGTCCTCTTCTGATGTCCACTGTGTTCATTTGGTGTTTGTCACATGTCCTCATTATCCTGGAATAAAGAGAATTAATTTTGTTTGTCAGGAAATCAATTAGTTTTCAAAATTTTGGAGGTTTTCTCTCTGTTGTTTCAAGGTATTAAGGAAAATGCAGGAAAAAAAAATCCATTCTTACTAAAATAAAAGAATCCTTGTGACCAATATACCCTGCTGACAAAACAGGAGGCCACCAGAAGGAGTGTGCTGGAAGAGCCATCCTCTTCTCTTCAGCCTCCTGCCACAGTGATGTCATATTACTTTATAAAACAGTCCCTATCTGATGTTGGCAATGGCTGTTCCAATACTTGAAAGTAACCCTAATGTAGAACACAGTACGGTCATTCAGTAAATCTCACAGATGGCCACTAGTAGCGCATCTGGCATATTTGTAATACCTTAATTAAGGCAACTCCTCTGGATGGTCTAATCAGAGAAAGAGAACTCTTCCTCTGGGCTGATGCAGCCCCAGACCCAGGAGCTAATGTTTAGAAAATAGAACACTGGCTCAATTTCAGCTCCCACCTGGACCTTGGCCAGGCAGCTCCTACCTACTGTTAACAACTATCCCCTGATCACTATTCTTTCTTGGTCACCAGGTGATACACAATATGTCAAAAATAGCTTGTCAATGATTTCCATGTTGGAGGCTAATTTTAAATACCCTCGAATTGCCTTTAATAAATCTTTCAACTACCCATAAAACATCAGTAAGTCTTGATGGAGGAATTTTATCATAGAAACATTATCTATAAACATGGTAGGGCAAGGGTGAAAGGGAGTATAAAAGCAAAGTTAATGAGAAAATAATTGAGCCAGGAGAAACTGAAAAGCTCTTGTGCTTAAATTCCATTTTTTATTGTATAGACTGAATAAAAAGTCTTAGGACAAAAAGACAACAATCTTTATGTGAAAATCAAAGAGAAACTAGAAGCAATTAAGTAGGTAATTTAGTTTAAAGATGCTAGAGTAGTCCCAGAAACAACTGGTACATTACTTTGAGAGAAGAAATTTTATGTGGACTTGGGGGGAAAATATTATGCAATTTTAAAAATTTTAAACTTTGTTATGAGGAACAAGGATGGGGAAGGCAGCAGTTAATTTTAACAATTGAATTCTGATTTATATTTAATAGCATGTAACACTTGGCTTATTCTAGAGTCAATTAAAAATACTTATAAGGAAAAAATCAGATTTAATGAGAATCAAAATAGAAATCTTGAGCTACGTCAGGATCCCCTAGCGAAGAGAATGAAAAATAGCCAGTTCAAAGATGATCCAAAGGATAGACAAATCAAAGATGAACACAGAGAAGGAGCAGTAAGTGTTCAAAGACAAAAATGGGCAAATACAGCCCCGTTATCATCCCGTGTCACTTAGCATGTTTCAATTGCAAGTAAAAGAAAACTTAACTCAGTGATTTAGACAATAGGAATTACTTTCATATGTAACTTAAAAATACAATCATATTTTGGATTTCAGGCTAAGCTTGATCTACGTTAATTTTGTAATCAAGGACTAATTCTCTTTCAGTCTCCCTACTTTACTTTTTTTTTTAATAAAAGCATCCATCAAAGTTGATTTCACTTATAAAAACAAGATGGCTGTCAATTGCAACCAGGACTACCTACTCGCTCATGTACGTTCCATAGGAGAAAGTTTGTCTCTTCTCAAATTACTGAGCTCAGGGTCCAGGGCTCCTTTCAGGTTTCACTAACCTAAGCCACTGAGACATTACTGTGGTCAGCATAGTAGTGGGTACTTATTGGTTCAAGTTTCCCTATGTTATGTGCCCACCTGGCCAATCACTCTGGAAGAAGACAGAGTTGTGCTGATTGTCTATGCTGGCAATGAAGTCATTCCCACTGAAACTACAATGAGGAAAACATAGTACAGTTGCTGGGGAGACAACCAGCAACCTCTACTCCACCTTCTATTCCTTAGGAAACTATTTTTGTACTGTGCTTTCTAACAAGAATTTGGGTTGAGCTGCAAAGAAACTCTCATCCTGATCAAAATAAGTATATGAAGAGCTTAAACAGAAAGCCTCTCCACTGCCAACGTCAATCCTGTGGCTGCTGAGTAAAGTGAACGTCTTGCCTTTCCAAGGCACTGCATGCTTTTCAGAGCACTGTCACCCAAATCATCACAGTGACTCTCAAACCAGTTTCTAGCAGCCATTGTTACTCCCCTTCTAGCAGCCATGGTTACTCTCCTTTTATAACCTAGAATATCCAGGCCAAGGAGGACAACGCAAGAGCTGGAGCGAGAACCCAGACCCTACTCTCTGAAGCCAGCACCTTTCCATGGTGATGACCACTCCCAGAGGTCTCTAAAGCACGACACTGTTGAAATAGGAAATCAAAGTTGAAAGAATAATAGGGCCTATCAGTCTTATTCTTTCTGTCTTTGCCTACCTTTCTAAATAAGTCAATGCAATAGAAGCCTAACGCATTAAGTATCTTTTCAGACTCTTAACAAAGGCTCACTAGTAGGGACAATCCTGCTCCTTTGTAATCTCTGCACTTTTATCTGCAAATCCTAAATCAGGCCAGTTGGTGAGATAATTGAAGTCATTACTTCATATTTTCATTTCCTGACTTAACAGCATATTGATTCTAATTATTATTCATTCCAAAATTACTAAATTATAACTAAGCTACATTATATAAAACCAAATAAATTGTTCTTGAGATCATCTTAAAGTAGCACACTAGAGACAACTACTGCCGTAAATATAAGTTTTACTTTGTATCATTGTTTTTAAAAAATACATCTTGGCCGGGCGCGGTGGCTCAAGCCTGTAATCCCAGCACTTTGGGAGGCCGAGACGGGCGGATCACGAGGTCAGGAGATCGAGACCATCCTGGCTAACCTGGTGAAACCCCGTCTCTACTAAAAAAATACAAAAAACTAGCCGGGCGAGGTGGCGGGCGCCTGTAGTCCCAGCTACTCGGGAGGCTGAGGCAGGAGAATGGCGTGAACCCGGGAGGCGGAGCTTGCAGTGAGCAGAGATCCGGCCACTGCACTCCAGCCTGGGCGACAGAGCGAGACTCCGTCTCAAAAAAAAAAAAAAAAAAAAAAAAATACATCTTATGAGGTTCTCATAAGTAATTTTTAAAATGTTCTGTAGCTCTTAGCTGCTAGTTTTCTCCTCAGCAATTTCTTTTTAAATGTTCTAACATAGTCTCAGATTTTTAGGCATTAAAACATTATTGATTTTTCTTCTTTCTCCTAACATGAACCTGAATAATACTCATTTGAAAATCTCAGACAGCAACATCAAACACCAAAAGGACAAGGGGAGCATTATTTGCAGAAAGCATCCAAATTTTTCTACAATCATTAAACTTGTGGGAGCCCTTGCTGTTCTCCTCCTACCTGCCAGCGGCCTCCTGCCATGAGTGGGAGCTGCCATGTGGACTAAGGGTGAGGGTAGCCATATCCATTTCCTACGTTAATTGATGAATTTCTCCCATAGAGTCTGTACAATAAGCAGGTGGAAACTCATTTGTGTGCTAAAGTATCTACATTACAACTATGTCTTTGACTACACTATGCAGAAAATGTATTTGCAGAACAATTACTACCTATGTGTTTGTGTGATAATATTGAAGATCTAATACCTAATAGGCTAACAAGGCCTCGAACACACTAAGGCCTTTTCTGGGGTAGAGAGGGTGTGCTGTAGCCATGGTTTTACTCACAGTAAATTCCCTGCAAAGATAATTCTTAAAAGATTTGCATGATATTCAGCTCTGATTCCACAGCCAGCAGAGCCAGTCATACCTGGAGTATCTGTGAAATAATGAGTTAGTTTCCCACTGTGAGGCCTCCTTTATAATTCAAATTTTAGCTGGAAAGTCTTTGAAGAGATGATTGAACCATATCGTCTCCATGAAAGCTGCAAAGATTTAACAACTGCTGAGAAATTAAAAAGAGAAACTCCATGGAAAATTACAGATGCAGAACTGGAAGCAGTCAAGGAAAAGGTAAGGACTTGTCTTTCTTAATTTTTTTGCTGTCTAACTAGCTGAAAAAGGAAACAGTAGTTGATTTAAAGACAAAGAAGCAATATATTTATTATCAAACGTCATTATTCAAGATTCAAGGTTTCTGCATTTTTCAAGTGCTTTTCAATCATTTACTGGATACGACTGTTTAGAAAACAGTTTCATTTTTCCCATAAGGTCAATTATTTTTTAAAAGTTAAAAATAGGTTATTGGCACAGATTGTGAAGTCTCCTTTCAAATTTCATTTTAAAGAACAGGAGAGAGATCCATCAGTCTAAAATAATTTGAGTCAATATGTATGCAAAGTTGATAAAGTTAGATGGACTCACAATTTAACACAGTAACAAATAATTTTAAACTGATGAAGAGATGACTACGAAAAACTTAGAAAGGCATCTGAGGAAACATATGATGTGATTGGAACAATGAATATGGAAGCTGGATCCATTACAAATATTCATTGTAATATGGATGTAAAAATGGTGAGCCTTTCTAGAGAGCGCAGTAAGATGCTCCCATCTGTGCCTTCTGTCCTGAGCCGAATGAAGTTGGTGATTTGCATGCGCGTCCGTGTGAAGAGACCACCAAACAGGCTTTGTGTGAGCAACAAGGCTGTTTATTTCACCTGGGTTCAGGTGGGCTGAGTCCGAAAAGAGAGTCAGCGAAGGGAGACAGGGGTGGGGCCGTTTTGTAGGATTTGGGTAGGTAAAGGAAAATTACAGTCAAAGGGGGTTGTTCTCTGGTGGGCAGGGGTGGGGGTCACAAGGTGCTCAGTGGGGGAGCTTTTCAGCCAGGATGAGCCAGGAAAAGAAATTTCACAAGGTAATGCCATCAGTTAAGGCAGGAACAGGCCATTTTCACTTCTTTTGTGGTGGAATGTCATCAGTTAAGGCAGCAACCAACCATCCGGATGTGTACATGCAGGTCACAGGGGATATGATGGCTTAGCTTTGGCTCAGAGGCCTGACATTCCCATCTTCTTATATTAATAAGAAAAATAAAACAAAATAGTGTTGAAGTGCTGGGGCGGTGAAAGTTTTTGGGGTGTGGTATGAAGAGAGAATGGGCGATGTTTCTCAGGGCTGCTTCAAGCAGGATTAGGGGCAGCATGGGAACCTAGAGTGGGAGAGATTAAGCTGAAGGAAGATTTTGTGTTAAGAGGTGATATTGTGGGGTTGTTAGAAGGATCATTGGTCGTATAGAATGATTGGTGATGGCCTGGATGCAGTTTTGTATGAACTGAAAAACTAAAAGGAAGACACAAGGTCCAAATAAGAGAAGGAGAAAAAACAGGTATTAAAGGACTAAGAATTGGGAGGACTTAGGACATCCAATTAGAGACAGCCTAAGGGGGTTTAGCGTAATTACTTGCTTGGTTGGTGAGTTTTTAGGCTCTACCCAAGTTTTTGGGGTGCAGTTCAAGTTGGGCTGGTGTCTGGAATGAGACTGGGACATAATAAAAAGAAGCATCCACACAGGAGCTCAAATGGGCTGGAACCTGTAGCATTCCGAGGACAGGCCGGAATTCTGAGAGGGGAAAGTGGTAAAAGTATTGTCTAGTCCTTTTTAAGTTGGTGACTGAGTTTGGTGAGGTGTGTTTTTAAAAGACTGTTAGTCTGTTCTACTTTTCCTGAAGATTGAGGACAGTAAAGGATATAAAGGTTTCACCGAATACCAAAAACCTGAAAAACTGCTTGGGTGATTTGACTAATAAAGGCCGGTCCGTTATCGGACTGTATAGAGGTGGGAAGGCTAAACTGAGGAATTATGTCTGACAGAAGGGAAGAAATGACCACGGTGGCCTTCTCAGACCCTGTGGGAAAGGCCTCTACCTATCCAGTCAAAGTGTCTACCTAGACCAAGAGGTATTTTAGTTTCCTGACTCGAGGCATGTGAGTAAAGTCAATTTACTAGTCCTGGGTGGGGGCAAATCCCCGAGCTTGATGTGTAGGAAAGGGAGGGGGCCTGAACAATCCTTGAAGAGTAGTAGAATAGCAGATGGAACACTGAGAAGTGATTTCCTTGAGGATAGATTTCCACGCTGGAAAGGAAATGAGAGGTTCTAAGAGACAGGCTAGCGGCCTTGTAACCTACATGGAAGAGGTTATGAAATGGCTACAGAATAGAATGGGCCTGTGAGGCTGGAAGGAGTTGTTTTCCTTGGTCTAAGAACCATTTGCCTTGTGTGGGAAGAGAGTAATCCCAGCACTTTGGGAGGCTAAGGCGGGAGGATTGCTTGAGCTCAGGAGTTCAAGGCCAGCTTGGTTAACACGCGAAACCCCGCCTCTACAAAAAAAATATAAAAATTAGCCTGGTAAGGTAGCATGTGTGTAGTCCCAGCTACTTGGGAGGCTAAGGCAGGAGGATCACTTGAGCCCAGGGGGCAGAGGTGAGCCGAGATCGTGCCACTGTACTCTAGTCTGGATGACAGGAGTGAAACCCTGTCTAAAAAAAAAAGAGAGAGAGAGAGAAATCTTAGGATGAATGGGTTAATCAATTTAAAAACTCATAACTCTTCAGGTAGGATTTTATTTTACTGGAACATGTGGGATTTTGGACAGTGAAGGGAGATAAGGGCCACCCTGAGACCCTGACCCCTGGGGCCCACGAGCCTCAGAGAGCCTCGCTTGGACTGACTGCCCACCATGCCCTACATCAACTACATTAGGAACTGAACTTGGAAAAATTTGAGCAAGAAACACTAAAAGCCTTTTAGATTTAGTGAAAAAAGAGATTGAACTAGAATCATCATAAAGTCTGTGTGTCATAAGCTGCCCAGTTCTGACCAAGTTTTATCATATAATTGAGCAAATCACGCATCTGAGCCATGGTTTCTGAACCAGTGAAATACAATAATAAATATTACTCTCATCACTGCAAAGTGGTTATTTTTCCAAGTGAGTCTTTTGGTGGCTTTTTAATTGAAGCCAGCCCCCTCTGCTTACAGAATATTCAGAGAGCTTAAAGAAAGGCAGACTAGAATACAATCTATATTCTTAGAGTATCAAATTGGTATCAAGATTCGATCAGGTTTTTTAAACAGAAAACCTATTGCCTCAAACTGGCCATTCCACTGTGCATGGGCATGGGCACATACCACTGTGCCCATAGCAGGTTCATGAGGCTCCTTGTAGTGTAGGAAGAGGCCAGGGTAGGAGAAAACACCTTCTTTTTAGTATTATCTATGTTGTTTGCTTCCCCTCTCCCTAGAATTTAATAAGCCACTATAGCAAAATGAAAATCTTTGTACTGTGTCTTATTCTTTATATTTCTAAAATTTCTCAGGAGGTTTTAAAACACCGTTAAGTTTCTAAGCCTGAAAAAGTAATTATAATTTTTACACATTTTTTAAGATGAGATTTGCTGGTTGTTCATGATTTAAGAAAATAAATTCTCATTCATAATTCTGGTAGAACTATACTCAACAAATCTGAATGTTGCCCACAGAGTTACCGCCAAGTTCGACTGAATGAACTCTTACAGGAGCACTCCAGAGCTGCTAATCTCATTGTCCTGTAAGTATCATCGCAGGCATTGAAGAACATTAGAAATAAATCTTAGGGTTAATGGGTTAATCCATTTAAAAGCTTATGACTCTTCAGGTGGGAATTTTGTTTTGTTTTTGTGTGTGTGTGGGGGGGGGGGTTGTTTTTTTTTGGAACACGTGGGATTCTTTCTTAGACAGTGAAGGAAGATAAGTGCCACCCTGAGACCTTGACCCCTCAAGCCCATAAGCATCAGAGCCTCACTTGGACTTGCTGTCCGCCATGCCTTATGAAGAGGTGTGTGCCCATCTAGTAACAGCCACAAGTCAGCCACCACAGCTCATGGGCCCCTTCCCTGGGTGGGTGTCCCTGAGCCACTGTGCCCATGGCAGGTTCACGAGGCTCCCTGTAGTGTAGGAAGAGGCCCAGGTAGGAGAAAAAGGCAGAGCCATTTCCATTTTCACTCTTCACACTCTAGCCTTACAAATGTTAGGGTTGCATCTACTGAAAATGTATGTTTGTTTACTTAAAGATTGGTATTTAAACAAGAAAACCTCCAAGTACTTCACATTTATACCTCACGAACTGACTCCTATGTATAAAGATAAATATATCTTCACATAGTGTAGACTGGAAAAGTATCCATCAAAGACATTGTAGAATTGTCTCCTGGATTGGGTGGTAGGATTCCAATAGACGGTTTTGGAGGTTTTTCCAAAATATAAGATATTTAAATTATTGGAAAAAATCATTTATACCAAAAAGGGGGGCAGGTATTAGCTGATCAAATTCCCTATTTAAAGAAAAGTGAAAATGTCATGTTTGTTTTGTCTTTACAATACCTAAGCCTGTTTTTCTGGTTTATAGATAGTATTACCCAAAAAATACATCAGTTTGCTATCTACAGTAAAAATAATTTCGGTGCTTTCACCTTGGGGTGGGGTAAAAGTTAAGGCTGCCAGTTATTAAATAGTTAAGTTATTTAACTATTTAAATTAAAAGTTAAGGCTGCCAGTTAGTAAATATTAGTGCTGTTACTACCTATAGTAATTTTCACTTTCATTTTTAAATTTTTCTTTCATGTCATTAGGAGTCTTCCAGTGGCAAGAAAGGGAGCCATATCGGATTTGTTGTATATGGCTTGGTTGGAAATCCTCACAAAGAACCTCCCACCTGTCTTACTAGTTAGAGGAAATCACAAAAATGTCTTGACATTTTACTCTTAAAACATGAAAGATTAGAATACATTTTACCTTAATGTATATGCATAATTAAGAAACATGTTCCAGTACTTTATGTTGTAAATCTGATCTGTGGATATGCAAACCTCTGGAGATGATCCTACCAGATTCTACATACATTGCATAATTTTTATCAGTTAATGCGAGCTTTTTTTTCTCTTCTCAGCTTAAGGGGTTGTCAAAGCCAAATCCCTAGAAAAACATTTTTGCACTGCTGTTGATAAAAACGAAAATCAAGGAAATTCATGTTGGCTTATGCTCATGAAAACCACCAATGTGATTGTAAACTTCTCCAGACAAACGTAATCTTTTGTTTCCAGAGTGTTTGCTCCTCAGCACTGGTATAGGTCTCAGCCCCACAGCAGGATCTCAATAAATGCTTATTGACAGGCTGGCAAAGTAACCACAGGTGGTTATCAAAGGAAAAGACCAATAGGCTGGAGAGCATAATTATGCTTGGCCCCCTCAGATGCTTATACCTACAAAGCAGATTTAAAAATCAATAACTCAAAACTTTAAGAAGTACTTGAGTCTACAAAATGTTCAAAGCAGTTACCTAAATAAGGTTATTTAATGTAACAGATTATATACTTAAAGTGATCTGAGCAATCATTGATAACATATGGCTTAAATTTGCTGCTGCCTGAAAAGTATATTAACTAGATTAGAAGACACCATATACTCCAGTGAAATGAAATATATTCTATTCTCAACATATAAACTTTAATTGTACTCCCTATCAAATATTTTGAAATTTCCATTACAGCATTACTTTGCATATTTTTTCTAATTAAATGGTTAGTACAGATGAAATCTTTATAGATGAGTACTTGAAAACTAAGTGCCACCAATTTTCAAACCCTTATTAAGAAATATATCCTGAATCATATATTTAGTTACTTTCTATAGTGATTGTATGGATTTAAAAGAATAATTAAAATGTGAAATTGAAAAACTTGTAAAATTTGGAATATACAGATACTGATTTTTTTCATTTTTGTTAGTACACCTATAATACTTAATCATATTGACAAAACAATGAAAATACTGTTTTTCTGATGAATGGCTTGATTTTGCTCCTTGACATATTTTGACTGTTCATTCTAACTGCAAACATACATGGGAAAATATGAACCTGAAATAAAAGCACTCAAATTTGATTGCTTTGGTCTAGGTCATGTTTTTACTTTCAGTCACTAAAATTGTGGTGCAATGGCATATCAGATGTGAGCCTGAAGATTTCAATCAGTGGCCTCATCTACAGTTGTTTAAAGCTAGGATTCAAGATCAGGACTTCCTAACCCAGCCTCTCTGTTCAGAAGGATGGCCAGAGAAAAAGGAGACCATCAGCAAAGCTTAGGCAGCTGGCTATCCCTATTCCAAATCCAGGGCCACTGTGCTTAACTCTGCCCTCGATAAAACCCTCTCTCTTGAGCACAGAAATCCAAATGCCTAAACTCAGCTTCATGTGGGCCTGACAGTTCTCTGAAATACTTGAGGGTCTCTGGGAAAGGTGAGAAGTAATACAACTTCTTTAGCAGGACGTTCTGGCTCCTCTCTTTCTGGGCTGCTGCAAGTTGGGTCCCCTGGGAAACAGTCTGAGACAAAGTTTAGCATGATCCCCTGGGGATCAACACCTGAGGGAAGGAGGGGAAGAAACAGGAAACACAGAGGTAAGCAGTGAGCTGGGATGCAGGCCCAAAGACAGCCTCTCCTGACCCTACAGAGAGTTGTCCCAAGCAGGGCAGAGAGGGCCAGGCTTTTGTACTCTGCTTTGATCAGTTATTGCATGGGGGCTGCCTGGGAAGGGGTGTGACCTCTGGGGCAGGGGGTGGGCGTGCAGCAGCTCTGTGCAGCAGAGGCAAACCCCCAAGGGCCTGGCAGGGAAAGTCTGTGTGCTGACAGCACTCCTAGCTGTTAGGGCAACAAGCTCTTCATTAAACAAAGTCTAGGTAGGACCAAAGGGCCATACAAAGTAGTAGAAACTGAGTCACTGAATTTCCTGAGGGCCAGTAGCAAGAGATGGCTGAGTATAGCCCTTGGATTCCAGGTTAAGGGTTAAGAGATCTTGAGGTCAAGAGCAACTGTATTGGGAATAAGTTCAGAGAGCAGAAAGTCAAAAAGATAGGGGCTACAGTCACATAGCCACAGATTGTCTGGCCCTTGGTGCCCTACTATTGTCCTTTGCTTCACCCAACTCTATTGATCCAGCCACCCATCATCTCCATGTCTGCGCTCAGGTTTCTGAGCAAGAAGGAGAACATTCCACAATCATGTGCATTGGTGTCCAACTGTCTCTGTCTCCTCACTTTGTGCATGTTTGTCATCAGCGTCCCCACCCTTTCCTCACCATGACTTCAACATCACTTTTTCAGTTGCTGTCTCTGCTCCCATCCCCACAAACATAGACATATCCATAGACATAAAATTTCTTTCATAGATAGTGCTATACTGGGAGCATTGTCCTATGAGTTTTTCAGTTAACATTCAATTTTAGGAATATTTAAGTGGAAGCTTTATTAAATAATTATAAATAGAGGCAAAGACAGGCTCTCTCACCCAAGATGGAGTGTAGTGGTGCAATTTATAGCTCGCCATAACCTCAAACTCCTGGGTTCAAACAATTCTCCCACCGCAACTTTCTGAGTAGCTAGGACTACATTCATGTGCCACCATATCTGGCCAACCTTTTAAAAAATTTTTGTAGAGACAGTAGCTCACTATGTTGCCCAAGCTGCTCTTGAACTCCAGGTCTCAAGCAATCCTCCTGCCTTGGCCTCCCAAAGTGCTAGGATTGCAAGTGTGAGCCACCATACCAGGCCTTCAATGGAAGCTTTAAAAATAGAGTATAAATTCTTGGGGGCCACCATAGCCCTGGTAACTTAGAATCTCTGGGGTGGGACTGAGGGTCCTGCATGTTCTGATGATCTGCAAGATTTTGGAACTACTGCTCTGAGGGCAGTCCCCCCCATTTCCATGGTTTGATTTCCACTACATGTTGGTGTCTCCTAAACTTACATTTTTAACTCAGATCTCTTCTAAGTCTCAGATCCATATATTTAAACACTAATTGTCTTGATCTCTCTCTAGGTGCCCTGCAGATACTCTAAATGCAGATTGACCAGACTTTTGTAAAAAACACACACATACACTGGAGGAATGGCCTCTAATTCTCTTTCTCTCTCTCCTTCTTTTTTTTTTTTTTTTTTTTGACATGGAGTCTCACTCTGTCACCAAGGCTGGAGTGCCATGGCACATTCTCAGGTCCCTGAAACCTCCACCTCCCAGGTTCAAGCAATTCTCATCGCCTCAGCCTCCAGAGTAGCTGTGATTAGAGGCATCCGCCACCACACCCGGCTAATTTTTGTATTTTTAGTAGAGAGGGGGTTTTAGTAGAGAGGGGGTTTTGCCATGTTGGCCAGGCTGGTCTCGAACTCCTGACCTCAGGTGATCTGTTCGCCTTGGCCTCCCAAAGTGCTGGGATTACAAGTGGGAGCCACTGTGCCCGGCCTATCTAATTCTCTTTCTCAATGCATATCAGGTCTCCCCTGAAATAGCAGAGATCACGCCACTGCACTCCAGCCTGGGCGACAGAGTGAAACTTTGTCTCAAAAAATATAAAATAAATTTTTTAAAAAAACAGAAGAAAATCTGCATTACAGCAGAAAACTAAGGAAGGATGCCATTCACATGATAATATTTTTTAGAAATAAAATCGTGCTATAGTTTACATGGGTGGGGACTGATGGAAGCAATCAAAGATCAGTTACAATCAATACTCCTGGGGAAAAAAAATCTTAGGGAATAATTGCAGGAGACCCTGGGAGAATTGCAATCACCCCTCCTCACAATTTGAAGCTGGAAGTGAGAATAGGCAGTAGGACAGGGTGGAGCACCTTCCTTAGGACCCCTTGTGTTGGATGCCGGAGTATTCAGAACAGCTTCCCTGAGAGGATGCGTGGTGTGCTTGGTGGGCGTTGCTAAGCAGCATCTCATGGATGCCCTTGGCAGAGGCATCAGAAAAGAAAACAACAACATTGTGTGTAAATCCCAATACATAAAGAGCATAAAAACATGAAAAAATAATCCAAAAGAGAAAAGTCAAAAAAAAAATTTAAAAAGAGAGGAATTATACAGTAACAGAATCCTACAATAGAAGAAAAATCAAACATACAAGAAACAAATAGAAAACACAAATGTGTTCATCTTTCTTGTTAACAAAATGACTCTCAAATTTAACAAAAAAAATCAAACTGTATTCTATCTGCAAGCATCATATTCAGAATTGAATATAAAAAGGCTAAAAGTCCACAAGTGAAAGTGAAAAAAAAGGTTAACAGCAAAAGAATAAACAAAAATATATACAAACATTCAAACAAAAAGAATAGAGTTGACAATATTAACTTCAAACTTTAAGACTAAGACTAAAAGAATTAGGAATGACAGGAGAGTATCGTTTTATATTTATAAAATATATATAGCCACAATGTAGCTATAATAATAATGCAGCTTTCTGTAAACAAATAGCATAGTATTCTCCTTAAGAATCAGTCTTCTCCCATGTAAAATGGGGATTAAGAGAATGCACCCCTTAGGGTTGTTGCAAACAGATGAGATAATGTGTGGCAATAGATGAGCACAGTACTGGGCTCAGCACTTTATGGTAAATACTTAAGCATAGACATTATTATTTTCAATAAAGACAGTAACAGTTCAAATGACAAACTCAACTGTTGTTTGTCGCTGTTGCTAAAAAAAAAAAAGGAATAACATCAAATTAACTTCTTTTTAGTTTTAGAAGAATAAATATAAATATACACATTTACAAATGAGCAAGAGACTTTGAGTTCAACTTTGGAAAAGAAGGTCCTTTAAAACTCTAGTATGGTAAATTGTTAATTACAATAAACATTATCTATTTGTAGTAAAATATAAACTACTAATATTAACTCAAAAGGAAATAGAATACCTAATAAAATCTAATACTTCAGGATAAAACACGAAGATTGTCAAAGATTTAGCTCAAAAAGGGTTTCAACCCAAAGGATTTTTTCTAGGCAACTTCTTTTAAACGTTCAAAGAAAATACAATTATCATTCTGTTTAAGCTATTGCTGAACAGAACAAAATAAAACATTGTCTTTTCCTTTCTCAGTTGTTTTGCAAAACTAGCATAACCTCGATACCAAAATATGGCAGACCACAAATATAGGATACTACAAGTCAATTTCTTGTATGAATAAACGTAGCAAAATCCAAAATAGAATACCAGCAAGTCAATTTTACCAACGTATTCAAACAATATTCCACTATAATCAAGAATATGGTATTCTAGGAATACAGATATATCTTATTGCTAGAAAATCAGTTAATTTAATTAATCCAATTTAGTGAACATTAGTTACCATTTACTTATTCATATTTTTTGAATATTTATTTGTAAGTACATAGTGTACCTCTAGAAGAATGCATAAGAAACCAGTTAGGGTTGACTTTGGAGAAGAAAACTGAATGGAGGACAAGTAAGATATTTCATTTTTACTATATACAATAATAACTATTCAAAACTAATATTTAAAAAATTAAATCCATAAATAAGCTACTTGTCTACCAGACTGTATTTAATTATTAACTCATGTTTGATCTGACATATATTGTGAAGGTCATATATAATAAATTTCTAACACTCAAAAATATAAGACATTATACCATCATTATTGTGTTGTGCTTACATGTAAAATAAGTAAGCAACTAAAATATCACTGTAAAAAAAAAAAAAGTTGACCCCATCGCATACCCACTGATAAACTTAGGTTTTTGCTTTTTTTTAAACATGAGATTTTTAAAATATATATATGCCTCTTTCTTGGGTGGAGAAAGTGATAGAGAAATATTGCATCAAATTTACTACTATATTCCTGCAGACATTATTTAGGTCAGTAGGTTCATATTCCATATTTTACTTTCTGAAACCCAGGAATAGACAAGTATAATCTTGTGCTGTGTTTTATTTTGTTTTGTCTAGAGACAGAGTCTCTGTTGCCCAGGCTGGAGTGCAGTGGTGCCATTCTAGCTCACTGTAGCCTCTGAACTCCTGGGCTCAAGTGATCCTTCCACCTCAGCCTCCCAGGTGGCTGGGACTACAGGTGCACACCACCATTGTCAGCTATTTTTTTTTTTTATTTTTCCTTTTTGTATAGATGGGGTCTTACTTTGTTGCCCAGGCAGGTCACAAACTCCTGGATTCAAGCAATCCTCCCACTTCAGCCTCCCCAAATGCTGGGATTACAGGCAGCAGCCACCATACTCAACCAAGTATAATCTTAATAGGTTCTGAGTAAACTCAGAATTGATATTATCCACAGTAGGATAGGGTAATTATCATAATGTGACTGAAATTGTGTGAATCTATGTATTACAAATATAGTATGTTCTTTCATCTTTTTAAACACAAAACCCAAGTGGGATGTGTATTAATTTTCTACTGCTGCATAATAAATTATCACAAACTTCGTGGTTTAAAACAGTACCCATTTATTATTTCACAGTTTCCATGTGTCTAGAGTACAGGCATATCTTTCATATTATTTTATTTTATTTTACTTTACTTTATTTTATTTTATCTTATTTATTTTTTTGTAGAGACAAGGTCTCGCCATGTTGCCCAGGCTGGTCTAGAACTCCTGGCCTCAAACGATCTTCCTGCCTCAGCCTCCAACAGTGCTGGGATTACAGGTGTGAGCCACTATGGCTGGCCAGACATACCTTAACTGGGCTCTCTGCTCAGGATCTTACTATACTGAAATCAAGGTTTTAGCTAGGGCTACAGTCTCCTCTGAGGTTCAGGATCCTCTTCCAAGCTCAAGTGGTTGGCAGCTGTATTAATTTTCTTGCTGCTATAGAACTCATGGCAGCTTGCATCTTTAAGGCCACCAGGGAGAAATCTTTAAACTCCAGACCCTCTGTTAAAGGGCTTACCTGATTAAGTCAGGCCTACTTTGGTCAATCTCCCTTATGATTGAACTTAAAGACTGGGCATGGTGGCTCACACCTGTAATACTAGCACTTTGGGAGGCAGAGGCTGGTGGATCACCTGAGGTCAGGAGTTTGAGACCAGCCTGGCCAACATGGTGAAACCCCATCTCTACCAAAAATATAAAAATTAGCTGGGCGTGGTGGCTCACGCCTGTAATCCTAGCTACTTGGGTGGCTGAGACAAGAGAATTGCTTGAACCCAGGAGGCAGAGGTTGCAGTGAGCCAAGATTGTGCTACTGCACTCCAGCCTGCCCAATGGCAGCAAGACTCCATTTCAAAAAAAAAAAAAATGATTGAACTTCAAGTCAACAGATTAAGGATTTTAATTATATCTGCAAAAAATTTTCATCTCTTTCTTATAAAGTAAGCTAATAATTGGAGAGGTACCCCATCATACTCACAGGTCCCTCCCAGACTCAAGAGGAGGAGATTACACAGGTCATCTTAGAATCCTGCCTGCCACATTGCTATCTCACATTTCTAGAGATCATATCTATCAGCTACTAAGAGCCAAGCTGGGAGTCAGATAAGTTAAAAATGGTCCACGAAGTATACCTCAAAAAAGTTCCACTCTCTGTGCCTGCACAATAGATCATACTCATTTGGAGGGATAGCTAGAACCATAAAAATAAATTAAACCTGGAAAAGACCTCAGAGATCCTCAAGTACTAAATGGTGTTTCCATACAGAACATTTGCACACAATTCTAGTTACATTGTTTTCCAATCAACAAAATGTTAAATGAGCCATAAGTGACACCAGGGATAATGCAGCAAATCATCAAAAACTTTTAACCAAGGAAATATAAGACTCAAAAGTGCAGTAATCTGAGGTCAAAAATGTGGGAGGCACAGATTCTACATACCTCAGTAGAGCTTGAGGACATCATTACTTCATAAGAGGACAGACTATGGCAGAAAAGCTCAATTTTGTTCCATGTATCCTGGTTAAGAAAGCAAGGATACTTGCATTGAAATTCACCCTCAGAAAAATTCTCGTCCACATGGCTGGCATCAAAAGATGGCTAAGCTTCAGTTATCTGGAAAATTAATTTACATATACTGACTCTTTCTGCAGTTAAGCAGAGTATATGGAGCCCTAGTGTAAGATTTAAACAGTATATTTTCAGGTTAAGTAATTTAAGATGAGGAATGCAGAAAGGAGAACTTCTCAGAGGTTGAGGCCAAGAACCAGGTCATGAATGTCATTGCTTCAGAGAAGGTGACAAGCAATGACATGTGGGACAAGAAGACTAATTTCCTCCTCAGTCTGGAAGATATATTGCAGCAGAGGGTAGTTTGGGGCAAAACTCAGCAGCTGACTTTTGAGAGAAAGGCATGAGTAACTGCCAAACTGTGAGACTTGGCTGCAGACCCTGGGGGCTCAAGCCCAACCCTGTGTTGTCATGCAAGGCCCTGTTCTCACACAGCATGGCTTTCCCAGACTTCCAGATCTGGATCATCTGCTCTTTTGGATGCCCAAGAGATGAAGAAAAAGAGACTGACTTCTCTGTTATTATGTACTTGCACTTTCTGATGTTCCTGTTGTATTTCTGCCCAACAAAAGGTGGTAAAATTATTCTCAGGGAAAGTGAGAAGTTCAGAGGAGTAAGAAATAACAGGTATTAAAAGATGTTAGGCCGAGCACAGTGGCTCACATCTGTAATCCCAGCACTTTGGGAAGCCAAGGCAGGAGAATAGCTTGAGCTCAGGAGTTCAAGAACAGTCTGGGCAACACAGTGAAACCCTGTCTCTACAAAAAACAAAAACAAAAACAAAAACAAAAAACAAAAAAACCCATTCATGGGGTTAGTCAGGTATGGTGGTGTATGCCTGTAGTCCCAGCTACTCGGGAGGCTGAGGTGGGAAGGATCACTTGAGCCCCAGAGGTGGAGGTTGCGGTAAGTTGTAATTGTGCCACTGCACTCCAGCCTGGGTGACAGAGCAAGACTCTGTCTCAAAAAACAAAAACAAACACACACAAAAAACTGTTAAACAACTCCACCTGCTAACACAACATGCACATTGGAAACAGGTCACCATACTATGATTTCCTAATGCTCAAAGGTACATTTACAAAATGAGTTCTACTAAAAAAAAAAACGTATTATTTGTGCACTTTTGACTTAATATGTCTAAAAGTGAGCTCTTACTCTTCCTTCCCAAAGGTGCTCTTTAACACTCTTCCCTCATCTCCATACATGACAATGCTATCCTTGCCATGAATCTTGGAGTCATCTTTGACTCTCACACACACATCTGATTTATCAGCAAATCCTACTGGCTTCAGAATATATCCAGAATCTACTCACTTGTCACCATCTCCACTTCTACCTCTCTGTCCCATGTTGTCACTGGACCCTTTCTCACCTGGATCACTGCAGGAGCCTTCTCAAAGGTCTTTCCACATCAGGCCTTACTCCTTCTCTGCCTCATAGCAACTCAAGTAATCCTGCTAAGTAAACTAGAGATTGTCATTCCTGTTACCAAAATCTAATGGCTTCCCATTTCAGTCTAAGGAAAAGCCACTGTCCTTATGAGAGCTTACAAGGCCCTACCCCTACACCCCATCCACCTATTTCTGTGACTTCAACTCCTACAACTGTATGCCCTCCTCTGTCACTGTTCAGACAACGTTGGCCTTCTTACAGGTGAGTTTGCACCCTGGGACCTTAGTGCTTGCTGTGTCCTCTGCCTGGAATGCCTTCCCCAAGATATCACTTCCTTCAAGTTAGGTAAAACAACCCCCAGCCCCCAGCCCCACACTCAGCAAATAGCATGTTCTCACTGAGGCCTTCCCTGGCTTCCCTCTCTGAAATCACAAGTCTAAATCCCATACCTTCCGCCCTGCTTTACTTTTCTCCTTAACTCTCGGCACCATTCATTTGAATCACATCTTCTATCTGTTGTCAGACTTATTTTGTCTGTTCTGTTCCCTGCTATATCCTCAAAGTCTAGACCAGTGCCTGGCACATAGAACACATTCAACAGATACTTGTTGGAAGGATGAATTAATACAGGGCACTGAGGGGACATGGCAAGTATGAAACTCCCTTGGGGTCTGGTCTCTGACTCACTATGAAGCACCGAATTCTGCCTTGCTCAGGGCCCTCCCACACCAGCTATGCCCCCACACAGCACACACTCTGTACCCTCTAGGGCTCTGAATATGCTCATCCTGCTGCCTGGCATTTCTGACTCTCCTTTTTTTTTTTTTTTTTTTTTGAGATGGAGTCTTGCTCTGTCACTCAGGCTGGAGTGCAGTGTGCAGGGGCGTGTCTCAACTCACTGCAACTTCCGCCTCTCAGGTTCAAGCAATTCTCATGCATCAGCCTTCCAAGTAGCTGGGATTACAGGTATGCACCACCATGCCCAGCTAATTTTTGTATTTTTAGCAGAGATGGAGTTTCACCATGTTGGCCAGGCTGGTCTCGAACTCCTAATCTCAAGTTATCTACCCGCCTCGGCCTCCCAAAGTGCTGAGATTACAGGCATGAGCCACCACACCCAGCCTTTCTCTCTCTCTTTTTTTTTTTTTTGAGACAGAGTCTTGCCCTGTCGCCCAGTCTGGAGTCCAGTGGTGTGATCTCAGCTCACTGCAACCTCCCACTCTTATTCAAACAATTCCCCTGCCTCAGCCTCCAGTGTAGGGGATTACAGGCACCCACCACCACGCCCAGCTAATTTTTGTATTTTTAGTAGAAACGGGGTTTCACCATGTTGGTCAGAATGGTCTTGATCTCCTGACCTTGTGATCCACCCATCTCAGCCTCCCAAACTACTGGGATTATAGGTGTGAGCCACCGCACCCAGTCTCTCTTTTTTCAATCACTGTTACTTTTATCCTTATTTAGTTCACTACCATACTTACTAAGCAGTTTCTCTTGAGTTTATTGGCCATCTGGTGTCAGTTCTTTTGTCAATTGATTCAACAAAAATGTGTCAGGCTGTAAAGACACAAAGATACACGTTCTAAGCTCTTAAGATATTGGTATCCACATTCCCTGCCCTGAAAAAGTTAAAAGGTTTAGACAAGAAAACAAGTTACACATAATAATTACAAATTGTGAAAAATACTGTGAAGGAAATAAGGAGAAGGTATTGAGACGAGATAACTCTGTTGACCTTGACTCCCTTTGTGGGCTGAAACTGGGGTGGCTCCTTTCACTCAGTCCACCGTTGGCCACTCCTCGCAAGAGCAAGTCTGCGAGCAAACGACTGCAGCAACTGAAGACGAACGCTGGAACTGGCCCATTACTCCTCTCTGGCAGGAGCAGGCTCTGTGCAGGCCCTGTAGCAGCATCCAAGCCCCTGACCTCTCCGCACCTGGGCATCCAGGAAGAATCAGGCCACAAGAACGGATGGAAGGGTGGTTGGTGTATGCGGAGGGTTTTACTACGCCATATAAGTGGCTGTCAGCTGGATAAGGAATTGGAAAGGGGATGGGTGTGGGAAGAAGGTGATCTTTCCCTGAAGTCATACTGTCTGAAGTTAGCCACATCTATCCGTAGTCCCGATGCTCAGCAGCTTGTATCCCCACCACTCCACTGCTTATGTTGCTCTGCCAGTTAAGTCTTTTTATGTCAACAGGATGGGGCGTGGCAGGGCAAAAAAACAACATTTGGGCCGAAAAACCGGGTCAGCTGTTTTCACTTAGGGCCGTGGTTCCAGGCTTAAGGGTGGGGTTTAGCCAGGAGCCCAGCTGTTCTGTATCAGTATGACAGAGAATAATGGAAATAGTAGTACTTTCTTAGGGTACTCAGTGAGGGTGTCTATGAAAAACACATAAAGATAAGAAGGTGCTGACAATGTTGAACTTTACCTGAGCCTTGGGCTCCTGGAACAGCACAATAATTAAGAAGTCTTCCCAACTTTCTGTGTTCTAGAAATTACTAACTGAAATGAACCACCATTCCCTATATGACTTATACAAGACACCGCCAACTCTTTCTCATGATTCCTATAAGACTGTAGATGATTCCTTTGTTTACCTGTAACAAGGTCACCCCAGACTTTTCCCCTTTAAACTGAACCTGCAGATAAGGTCAGACAGACACCTTCTAACTTTATTCTTTGTCTCATGGATGATTAGCTGAGATTAGATTTGTCCTCATGAAACTAACTAGACACAGAAATAAACAATCCCAACTTCAAATTTACTCCCTATGACTTATCTACTCTTCCCTATAAAAATCTAAGACAAGGCCAGGCGTGGGGCCTCACACCTATAATCCCAGCACTTTGGGAGGCCAAGGTGGGCAGATCACTTGAGGTCAGGAGTTTGAGACTATCCTGGCCAACATGGTGAAACCCAGCCTCTACTAAAAATACAAAAAAATTAGCAGGGTATGGTGGCTGGTGTCTATAATCCTAGCTACTCAGGAGGCTGAGGCAGGAGAATTGTTTGAACCCAGGAGGAGGAGGTTACAGTGAGCTGAGATCACTCCACTGCACTCCAGCCTGGGCAACAGAGCAAACAAACAGACAAAAAAAGTCTAAAACAAAACTATCCTGCTAGATACACTGTAGTAGGCTGAATAATGGCCCCTAAAGACATCCAGGTCCTAATCCCTGAAATCTGTGAATTTTACCTTACATGGAAAAAGGGTTTTTGCAAATGTGATTAAGGATCTTGAGATGAGGCAATCATCCTGGATTATCTGGCTAGGTCCTACATATAAGCACAAGTATATTTTTAAATTTTAATTTAATTATATTTTATTTTAAATTCTGGGATACATGTGCAGGATATGCAGGTTTGTTACATAGGTAAACATGTGCCATGGTGGTTTGCTGCACCTATCAACCCGTCATCTAGGTATTAAGCACCATATGCATAAGCACAAGTATCTTTGTAAGGGGGAAGCTGAGGGACATTTGACTATAAGCAGAAAATCATGTGATGGAAGCAGAGAGAAGCAGGGTCAGACAGAAGATGCTACACTGCCGGTTCTGAAGATAAAGGGGCCATGAGCCAAGGAATACAGCTCTAGACATGGGAAAAAGCAAGAAAACAGATTCTCTCCTAGAGAATCTGCATCTCTCCAGAAGCAATATGGCACCAGAGACACCTTGATTTTAGGCACGGAAGACTCATTTTGGAATTCTAGCTTCCAGAACTGTATGAGAATCAATTTCTATTGTTTTAAGTCACTAATTTTGTGATCATTTTTATAGCAGTAATAGAAAATAAATACATACTCTAATCTTCAAATCTGGGGTGCTTTCCCTATTGCGATAGCCAAAATAAAATCAATTTCCTTACTTGTTCAGTTTTTATCTTTGATGGTGATACCCATATGAAGAACAGAGAGTAGAACAGGCCAGGCAGAATGAA